AAAATCTGGAATCTGAGGGTGCAGAAAAATCTAAATACTGAGAAAATCGCTTTTAAAGTTGTCCAAATGAAGTTCTTAGCAATGCATATTACTAATCAAAAATTAAGTTTTGATATATTTACGGTAGGAAATTTACAAAATATCTTCATGGAACATGATCTTTACTTAATATCCTAATGATTTTTGGCATAAAAGAAAAATCAATAATTTTGACCCATACAATGTATTGTTGGCTATTGCTACAAATATACCCCAGAGACTTAAGACTGCTTTTGTGCTGCATGGTCACATATTTCACACATCCTTCAAAGCATCTTCATTTGTATTTAAAAGAAGAAACAAACTCATACAGGTGTGGAGCAGCAAGAGCACAAGGAAATAATGGCAGGATTTTAGTTTTGGGGTGAACTGTGCCTTTAAAACCTGACATTTCGTGAAGTCTGATGCTGAAGGAGTTTGGGGTGGCTCTTGTCCGGTTTCTCTCGAGCTCCCATAATCAAGACATGTGCGAGACGGAACACACGCGAAACACACTGTGTGTGTGTGTGTGTGTGTGTGTGTGTGTGTGTGAGAGAGAGAGAGAGAGAGAGTGTGTGTGTGTGTGTGTGTGTGTGTGTGTGTGTGTTTGTCTTTAGATGCTGCACCTGTGTCTTCAAAGATTCAAATGAAAAACTGTCCGGGGACAAATATAAAACATCAGTGATATGCTGATTTCTTGTGATACTAGACACCTCAACATGAGGGATGGTTTTTTATCAGTCTCTCCTCTCAGCATGAAAGGAAGAAAAACTATGTTGCAAGTGGCAGTGAATGATGAATAAGCTGAATAGACAAATGTTTGAAGCTGTTTTAAGCTCTAATTTGATAAGCAGCAAATATGCAGAAAGTACTGAAAAAGTTTGCCCAGAAACAACACCCTTGAAAATATAAATAAAATTGCATAATTGTCACGTGCAGGGCCGCATTAAGACCTCACTGGGCCCCGGGGCTATGACTTACTGCAGGGCCCCCCATCACAATAATGATATATAGTTTAAAATATGATTTTTATCCAATCAAAATTTTTGATGCATTGCAATTTCGTAATTCTTGTTACCAATTCCAATATCACAAAATAAAAAAATACTAGCCTATGTAAAAACAAACTTACTGAAGACAAGTAAACAGTCATGAATTACAATAGAACAAAGAAATCGACCTACAAACACTGAATAAAAAAATATTAAATAGACTAGACTACAAATAGACTAAATAGTCTTCACTGTATAAAATTCAATATACATTCTTATTTATTTTGTGTCTGTTCCCCGAATAGTGAGGTCAAAATATAAATTTAATGCAGGATCTAGAAAAAATCTGATCGTGATTAAACCAGAAAAATTTAAAATAAATGAACAAAAACCATTTTTAAGGTTTGGGCTCCTAAACATTAGATCACTCGCACCCAAAGCAGTTATTGTAAATGAAATGATCACAGATAATCGTTTTGATGTACTCTGCTTGACTAAAACCTGGCTAAAACCTAATGATTATATTGGTCTAAATGAGTCTACTCCACCAAGCTACTGTTATAAGCATGAGACCCGTCAGACTGGTCGTGGCGGCGGTGTTGCAACAATATATAGTGATATTCTCAATGTTACTCAGAAGACAGGATACAGGTTTAACTCATTCAAAATACTAATGCTTAATGTTACACTATCAGATATGCAAAATAAATCTATCGTATCTCTTGCTCTGGCTACTGTGTATAGACCACCAGGGCCATATACAGATTTCCTAAAAGAATTTGCAGATTTCCTCTCAGACCTATTGGTTACTGTTGATAAAGCGCTAATTGTCGGAGATTTTAACATTCACGTTGATAATACAAATGATGCATTAGGACTTGCGTTTACTGACCTAATAAACTATAGATTTAATTATATCGCATGGAATTGATCTTACTGATATAGATATCGTACCTCAAAGTGATGATGTTACTGACCATTTCCTTGTATCGTGCATGCTGCGTATTACTGATATTAACTACATGGCTCCGCGTTATCGTCAGGTGTGTGTGTGTGTGTGTGTGTGTTTGTCTTTAGATGCTGCACCTGTGTCTTCAAAGATTCAAATGAAAAACTGTCCGGGGACAAATATAAAACATCAGTGATATGCTGATTTCTTGTGATACTAGACACCTCAACATGAGGGATGGTTTTTTATCAGTCTGCATGAAAGGAAGGAAAGGAAGAAAAACTATGTTGCAAGTGGCAGTGAATGATGAATAAGCTGAATAGACAAACTGTTTTAAGTGTTTTAAGCTCTAATTTGATAAGCAGCAAATATGCAGAAAGTACTGAAAAAGTTTGCCCAGAAACAACACCCTTGAAAATATAAATAAAATTGCATAATTGTCACGTGCAGGGCCGCATTAAGACCTCACTGGGCCCCGGGGCTATGACTTACTGCAGGGCCCCCCATCACAATAATGATATATAGTTTAAAATATGATTTTTATCCAATCAAAATTTTTGATGCATTGCAATTTCGTAATTCTTGTTACCAATTCCAATATCACAAAATAAAAAAATACTAGCCTATGTAAAAACAAACTTACTGAAGACAAGTAAACAGTCATGAATTACAATAGAACAAAGAAATCGACCTACAAACACTGAATAAAAAAATATTAAATAGACTAGACTACAAATAGACTAAATAGTCTTCACTGTATAAAATTCAATATACATTCTTATTTATTTTGTGTCTGTTCCCCGAATAGTGAGGTCAAAATATAAATTTAATGCAGGATCTAGAAAAAATCTGATCGTGATTAAACCAGAAAAATTTAAAATAAATGAACAAAAACCATTTTTAAGGTTTGGGCTCCTAAACATTAGATCACTCGCACCCAAAGCAGTTATTGTAAATGAAATAATCACAGATAATCGTTTTGATGTACTCTGCTTGACTAAAACCTGGCTAAAACCTAATGATTATATTGGTCTAAATGAGTCTACTCCACCAAGCTACTGTTATAAGCATGAGCCCCGTCAGACTGGTCGTGGCGGCGGTGTTGCAACAATATATAGTGATATTCTCAATGTTACTCAGAAGACAGGATACAGGTTTAACTCATTCAAAATACTAATGCTTAATGTTACACTATCAGATATGCAAAAGAAATCTATCGTATCTCTTGCTCTGGCTACTGTGTATAGACCACCAGGGCCATATACAGATTTCCTAAAAGAATTTGCACATTTCCTCTCAGACCTATTGGTTACTGATAAAGCGCTAATTGTCGGAGATTTTAACATTCACGTTGATAATACAAATGATGCATTAGGACTTGCGTTTACTGACCTAATAAACTATAGATTTAATTATATCGCATGGAATTGATCTTACTGATATAGATATCGTACCTCAAAGTGATGATGTTACTGACCATTTCCTTGTATCGTGCATGCTGCGTATTACTGATATTAACTACATGGCTCCGCGTTATCGTCAGGGCAGAACTATTGTTCCAGCCACCAAAGACAGATTCACAAATAACCTGCCTGATTTATCTCAACTGCTCTGTGTACCAATAAGTACACATGAACTAGACGAAATGACTAGCAACATGGGCACTATCTTCTCTAATACATTAGAAGCTGTTGCCCCCATCAAATTGAAAAAGGTTAGAGAAAAACGTACTGCGCCATGGTACAACAGTAATACCCATTCTCTCAAGAAAAAAACTCGTAGTCTTGAGCGCAAATGGAGAAAAACTAACTTGGAAGTTTTTAGAATTGCGTGGAAAAACAGTATGTCCAGCTATAGACAGGCTCTAAAAGCTGCCAGGGCCGAGCATATCCACAAACTCATAGAAAATAACCAAAACAATCCAAGGTTTTTATTTAGCACAGTGGCTAGATTAACAAATAACCAGACGCCACCCGATCTAAATATTCCCTCACAGTTTAATAGTAATGACTTTATGAATTTCTTCACTGATAAAATAGATAACATCAGAAATACAATAACAAATGTAGATTCTACAGCGTATAATACTTCAACTTCATTCATCGCACCAAAAGATAAACTGCAGTGCTTTACAACTATAGGACAGGAAGAGCTAAATAAACTTATCACTGCATCTAAACCAACAACATGCCTGTTAGATCCTGTACCCACTAAATTACTGAAAGAGTTGTTACCTGTAGCAGAAGAACCGCTTCTCAATATTATTAACTCGTCGTTGTCTTTAGGTCACGTCCCAAAACCATTCAAGCTGGCGGTTATTAAGCCTCTTATTAAGAAACCACAACTAGATCCTAGTGAACTGGCAAATTACAGACCCATCTCAAATCTTCCTTTTATGTCAAAAATTTTAGAAAAAGTTGTGTCTGCACAATTGCGCTCCTTCCTGCAAAAAAATGATCTCTATGAAGAATTTCAGTCAGGTTTCAGGCCCCACCATAGCACAGAAACTGCACTTGTTAAAATTACAAATGACTTGCTTCTTGCGTCAGACCAAGGCTGTATCTCATTGCTAGTTTTACTTGATCTTAGTGCTGCGTTCGACACTATAGATCATGACATACTCATAGATCGATTACAAAACTATACAGGTATTCAAGGGCAGGCTTTAAGATGGTTTAGATCCTACCTGTCCGATCGCTACCACCTTGTTCATTTAAATGACGCTGCTCCCATTAAGCGCTGTTTGAATTGATTGAATTGATTCAGCATTTCGACACCTCCGTAAGGATGCATTTAACTCGACAAAGTGGTCTAGTATTGA